AAACAGGTGTGGCATAAATAATATATGGTGATTCTTTCATAGCAGCATACAAGAAAGCTTTTACATCTATAAATACGGATTTAATTGAACTAGACTTATGACTCTTTACTTGATTAACTACATTATTAGTTATACTTTTAGAGAAAGTAAGACTTTGGAAAATCCAATCTATTTGAAGATTATATTTTTTTAACCACGATAAATCTAAAATGACTGGATTAGAGGGAGATCTAATGATATTAAATACTACAAAGCTATTATAACCATTGATTATTACTTCTATAGGAAGGGTTTCATGAATAATATCTCTAGAAGACAATGGACGACCATCTATGACTTCTATATGAACAGGTTTAGTTTTCTTTACTAAAGATAGCTATATCTTTTAGTAAATTCTTCATCTAAAGAACACATCAAGGCTCCTAAATCTAACAAGACAGAGGCTTTGTAATATTTATGTCCTAAAATAACATTTAATATAAAACAAGGAGAGGGCTTTGAGGAGAGAATAGGACCTTTATTAGATGTTGTGCAAGGTTCCAGTCGCACGGTCCCTATTGTAGTTGGACAAACTTGTTTTCCAACATATTGTCTTCTTTCACAACCATACTCCTCATTTTGTGATTGCGTCATTTCTTTGGACAGTGTTGAGCACTGTGCTTTGGTTCTCCACAATATAAACATAATCCTTCTTGATGACGACGAGTCTTTTCTTGCTCAATAAGAAGTTTGAAACATACTGCATCAATTTGCATATCCTCTACTTCCAAATGTATGTGTTGAAGAGGTGTTGGTGTTGCCATTCAATTATAATAACGTTGAGGTTCACTTGTACAGTTCTCAGATCGAAATTCAAAAAGGTGATTGTCGCACTTCACAGCAAAGTCAATTGCTTGACTCAATGTTTGAGGATCAGGTAAGTTGAGCATTAATTTTTTTATCTCATACTGTAATCCGTAGAGAAATTGGCTAATAAGTGCAGCATCATCCTACTTGATATCAGTTGCAAGTTATCAAAATTGTGAAACGTACAACGTTATTGATCGATTGCCTTGTCGTAAAATACAGATCTTATTGGTTGCAACACGAATTGCATCATGTTCTCCATATATGGATCAAAACTTTGCCAAAAAAGCCTCTAGATTATCTAATATAGTATCTCGCCGTTCAAGAAACGATGAAAACCACGATAGTGGTGAACCTGAAAGAAGCGTACCAATGAATCTAACTTGCGATCCTAGAGTTGGATAGTTTTGGGATTGAAGTTCAATCACAAGTTGCACTTGATTGATAAATCCTCGAAACTTGAATCTGGTGCCATCAAACTTCTTAGATAGGATAATTCTTGGTTCCCTAACATTGGAGGGGCGTTCCACCATAGGAGAAAGGACATGGTTTGGTGCATATGTTGAAGCAGCTCCAACCATTTCTATATCTTCACTTCTTGCCAATCTTGTTGCTTCTTGAGGTGGTAAATTGAGTTGATGGATTGCAAGCATTAACTCCCTCAATTGCTCTTGCATTTGTGCCATTGCACTCTTCATTTCAACAAATTCTGCCATGATAACACTTAGAAAAGAGAAGATGTCTAATATCGCTGAAGACAAATAGAAGAGAAGACTTGAGAACAAAGAAAATACTAAGGACAATATCAGTTTAGAAGAGGGTAATCCATAACTTCTAATATGCTTATATCTTATCAAGAAAAAGGGGTAATCTACTCTTAATCAAGATTAGACAAAGCTCTGATATTATATGTGTACTCTTGTCAATCTGTCAAGGACAAGAACTTGATGAAAAAGCAATTCAGACAAATGAGCCTTCATTCAAAAAAAAGTAACAAAATATAAATAAACAAGTATGTATATTGAAAGAGATACTGGAATGGCTATTGTCAAAAGTCAAGAAAATTAGAGACCCTTGAAACTAGATTGGAAGCAAGAAAGGAGTTGACAAGAGTGAAGAAGGCTTCACTCTTGTCTCTATATATACTATCTAACTAAGGGCTACGTGGCGACGTTCTATAGGACCTCCAATATGTGTTCACTTTGTAAGACACATGCCTTGACTTACAAGGAAAGTTTTTCTACGTAAGGGCCACATAATTAGCTTGATCTTCAAGCTAACAATATGTGTGGCATATGGCCAACTTGTTAACCACGTTTCTAATCCAAAAAGTCAATTAAAAACACCTGTGAAGTCAAAGCAACGTCTATGAAGCTTCTATATTAAATACTATAGAATTAACTTACTTTTACCTACTTTTACCTACTTTTACTTACTTCCACCTATTTGTATATGTAATTACTAGCTTACATGAGTATGTCTGTGACAAGTGCTGAGGGTGCAAACATCGCATGTTTACATTTTAAGATGGAACCCATAGGTAATTTTACCATCGCTGTACCCTCTTGGAAACAAAATGCATTTGCTCTAGCCATAGTCATCATATTTTTAGTTTTCCAAGTTGAAGATTTTTCAATAAAAAATCGTCTATCTTACAAGATAGTATGTGTTGTTGCAAAATCAATGAGCGCATCATTTGATTCATCATTAGAGATTTTGTCATTCATATAAGCCTCTAAGTCATCAATACCAATTGAATCCATAAACGCATCCATGGTATGAACTTCACGAGCTTGAGCTCGTAGTTTTTTATTTTCTTAGAATATTTTAATAAAATATTTTGAAGTACGGCACGCATGTGCTAAATGTCCAATCATTCCACATTTATGGCAAGAACGCATCTCTGATTTTTGTTTTCTACTATAATTAATAGTAGAACGTTTATTCTTTCCATATGGATAGAAATGTTCATGACTATGACTACCCTGATACTTATGAGCATATTTCCCATGTTTATATAATTTCTTCTTAGACTTTTGAAATATTAAGTGCATGAGATTTTGGAACTGTAGTTCCAATACAACGAGCTTCCGCATTGCGCAAGAGTAGCTCATTTTGCTTCTCCGCAAGAAGTTGATAGAACAAGAGATCAGAATGACTCTAAAATTTCATGTTTCTGTATTGGAAATGTAGAGAGAATTTTCTCAATCATTTTTTCTTCAGAAATGCTTTGTCTACATAATCGTAATTGTGAGACAATACTATACATTTCACTATTGAAAGCATTTAAATTTGAAAAATCCAAGACATGTAAATGTGTCCAATTATGATGTGCACTTGGAAGAAAAATGGTCTTTTGATGATCAAACCTAGATTTAAGATTCTTTCAAAGTTTTGCAGGATCTTCTATATCCAAATATTGATGTTGTAATGTAGGTACAAGATGACGACGAAGGAAAAGAAGTGCTTTCCAATGAATAGTATGAAATATAGAAATACTCATTGTAGGAGATTCTTCAAACATAATGGCATCCGAGAGTTGTTCTGCAAATAAATTTGTTTTTGCCATTTTTGCCCATAATAGATAATTGTCTCCATCCACAGTCAATGGTGGAAATGAAAGAGCTTGAAAATGTTGGGATGTTGAAAAAGTTGAGTAAAATGTACCTTAAAATATAAAGTCAAATAAAATGGTAAACTTGAACTTGAAAAATAAAAATATTATATATATATATATATATATATATATATTTTAACAAGGTTGTGGATTAAGGCAACAGAACAGGAATAAGATGGTGGCAGTAGGCATTGGTAGGACGGCAGCAGTAGGGCGGCAGGATGGCAGCGGCAGCCAACGGCGGGCGGCAATGTCAGCGGTGACAGGGTGGGAGCGGTGGCAGTGGTGGATTTGGCGGCAGTTTGGCAGCAGGCATGGGGCATAGTAGGGAGCAAGCTGGAGATCAAGTATTCTAAACAAGTATTCTAAGCAAGCAAGACAGAGAGTGGAACAAGTGCTCTAAGCAAATAGCTAATGTGTAAGGGGCCAGTAAGAAGAGCAACAAGATCATGAGGCAGACACTAAGCAAGAGTAGCAACATGTTTGAAGAGTCAAGTCTAGAACAAGAAAAATTGTGATAGTATATAGAAGAGAATCGTGCTGATAACGTATTGAGAATGTTGAGGAAGACACAAGAATAATAGTAAGTCATACACACACACAAGAGCAGTAGTAAGTCATACATATAAGAGAGTTTCTAAGGAGAGAGAGCTTCACACATAAAAATCTATTCATCTAGTTGTGTCTCGTATACAAGAAGAGAAAAGGGGAGAGGATAAACAGTACTTCTCCACTAGACTCTAAATACTATAACTACAGCATTTATTGTAGTCTACAATAAATATTATGAAGAGCGCCGGCTACATTTAATGATCTCAACACTGAGAAAGATGCAACACATTAAGAGTAAATGTATCACTCACTATCCGTGGGACCAGTCGCAGGCTTCTGCCCAATGCGGCAGACAGAACCTGAGATCCACACTCCCTATGTTTGTTTGCTTATCCCGCATTCAAGGGGGATTGTTTGGTATAGTATGTGTGGGCAGCTGTGAAGCATTAGATGATGCAGTGCAGTCGTTCCTTTTACTTTCTGTAAGGAGTGAGTAGCACTGGTTCCAGGTTTAGTCACAGCGAATCTGTGCTCGGGGAGGCCAACATTTGTTGTTTTGAGGTGGTTGTGTTTTCGAAATAATGTACAATTCATCCAAGGATTATACGCTGCGCGTGTGAATATGCCTTGATTCGGCAACGTTGAGCCTGGTTAACCAGTGTTGGATACTTCTGATGATGTTTGATAGACATAGCACCAAAGCCACGTTGAATGGATCAGCCCCATTGCCTCAAGATTCACGAGCTTAAATCACAAGCACTCGGAACAGAGTGCTGACATCCTACATTCAAATGCCAAGCTGGACATGACTGGGGTATCACTCGCAAGCCACACATGTCCTACCCAAACAGTTGTTATAGCTTTTTATGCTGGTGGATCCGATGCACTGCTCTGGATGATGTGATATTACAGTTAAGTTTTTGAATTTTTTTTTCTCATGTATCAAACTGGTAGTAGTCATGTGAGATGCTTCCTGCTGGTCCGATGAAGGAAAAAAATGTACATTTAATATGTGAGACAAGGACATGTTGTCAAGGCTTTCTCGAGCTGAACACCATACGCCAGCAAAGAGTTCCGTATTAATATAAAGAAAGAAATGTGTGACAAGCGTCAAACGTAGCTCCCACTTTCCATTAAAATCCTATCCCGTGTACCGCATAGACCACATCTTAGGTCATTCGGTTTTGAATTTGCCGGTGTGTTTGCACCAGGTACTCCACATACGACAGTCCCAAAGCGGACTTGTCTTCAACCAAGTAGTTGTAGAAAAGAAGCTCTACACAAGTGCAACCACAGACACTTCATGAATTCATGCCCTCACGACATACCGCCGCAAACCATAAGCCTTGTGCATGAAACAAACTTAGCTGAGTCAAAACTAGTTTCTCAAATTCAGATCGCAAATCGAACATCATCTTGTACAATGCCCAAATGCTTAGCATAACCTGTGACCACACAAAGCACATCCATGGAATCTATTAGGCATACCTCGGGGATCTCCTCTCTTCAGCATGCACAACCTGCAATAAATACTAAACAGTCAGTAAGTATCCGGTGAAAACACTCTTCAAAAGCATACCTTGAACGGCCCCCTCAAACAATAACTCAAGGAACAACAGCAGCAACCAATCAACAGAGGTTTCGTTACGCCACAAGCACGATTAGGAGAATAGAATGGTTACCGCAGGTATGAGCAGCGTTGACGCCGTATCTCGTTAACTACCTCATTCAGCCTCCTTGATAATTCATTGTCATACTCCTGAAGAGAGAACTGAATCCACGACCGAATGATTTCAGCAACATCAGACGATGTTCTGTTACATATCCTACTCATGCTAATATCACCCACCAATTTATCATGGACCTATAAAACCAAAAGACACTATACAGTTCTACGAGTATCAAGAGGAATCCAAATTCAATGGTGATTTAAAAAAAGGTCCACTAGTGCTCTAAAAGCACAGAGGCACCGTACCTGTCCAACTGCCAACTCATCCACCGAACACACGCCAAAAAGCTGATGCAAGACTTCTCGTGAAGCTTGCGAGTTAACGTACAGCAAAGCATCCTCTCCATTCTCCAGCAAATAAATACCGTCGAGCTCCAAATTCTCGCTCGATAGAGATAACGTAGATGGAAGAACAACGCCTCTCAGATCCTCCTACAATCAGAAAGGATAAAGAAATCTCATCAAACTACCATACCACACCAACATTGACCACCACAAGCAACATGAAGGGAAAAAGAGAAACAGCAACAGCAACAGCAACACGAACACGAACACGAGCGCGCACAACGAAGTCGGGTTTCAGAAGTACTAAATAATACCTTCGAAGGAAGGTTGTGCAACGCAAACAATCGTGGGTACACCAGAGGAATAGCCGAAGGTGCTGACAGTGAAGCTGCTCGCGTAATCCAGTACGATCTCTCATCAATTCGCGCATCGGTCCGCAAACCCACACTTTTTGTCAAAGCTACACCCAGAAAGAAAACACCTTCAGTAATCTACTGTACACACTGCACAAACTCCCACCAACTACACCTCACAAAAACGGTTTGGCAGGTACCACCTTCGTTTACGTATCACATTGACAACTGCACTAAGAAGTTTGTCTGCATAGCAACCCAGACCACAAGTTGCTGTGAGTTCATACTTACCCATAGTGTAAAGAGGCAGCAACTTTAAGGCTTCCGGAAGTATCAATTGCCCGGACGAAGATGCAGTTGCACAGAACTTCCGGTACGTATATAAAATATTCACACATTGACCAGACACACGATCCCTTTCTTGAGCAACTTGTGTCGTCAACACATCCTGGGCAGCTGCAATTCATGATGGGCAATACAAAAAAATAAAAAAATACATTAGAGTACTTACCCCAAGAACACGTACAAGTCAAGATGACGTACAACAATCACTTAGTCAGCAAACGAACAACTGACCACAGCAGAGATACTTGTAAACTGAGAACGATCACAAACAGGAGAATTGCAAACAGACCCTGCTTCAAAAAGTGGGTGAACTGAGCATCCAGGTCAGCTCCGCGGAAAAGGCTGGTTAGAGCAGTCGAACAAGACAGAGACAATGTGTTCAGTCGGATCCGCCTTTGTCCACTTGTGGTTGTATACAGCAGAGCACTCTTCACAAATGCAAAGTGCGAGATTTCACTCAGTAAGAAACGTAGAAGGATGGTTCCTCTAGACAAACTTAAGAAATGCATACTGCCCGCACAAAATACAAATATTGCATGAACAAGATAATATGTAAACAACGCGGACGTGTGCAAGACGCAGGCATATTCCTCTGTTTAATCACTATTTTCCACGCGGTACCGTTTCTCAAAGCATAATCTACGCATTAATGGCTCTGTCAGAGAAGATGATGCAAACCTGAAAGCAGCAGTCTGCGTTATCTTGAAACTTGTCGTCATGTTTAAAAGTCACCATGATTGTTTTGTCACAATCAATCTGCAAACAAGTTTGTAGAAAGCAGTTGATGGTCAATGTCTGATCAATGGATTCACATATGCAACACAAAGTCTACAACGACTTCATATACCGTCCCCAAGTTCTAAGAATATGAATTTCAACTTTCTCGAAGATTGACAAACTCGATGTGCTCGTCAGATAGCACAGAACACAAACGAAATCCAGGACACCGACAAACGAAGTCTACGACTACTATATGTCAGCAAGCCGCAACTGAAAGATTCAATACGTATTGTACTCATGCTGCTAACAACACTTTTATATGACTCAACAATTAACTATGAACATGACACGCATAGGAAAAGAGTATCACAATCGCAAAGTCATGGCCCTTTCAGCTGTAAATCTAGCAACAGGCTATTGAGAACTAAGTCATCCAAATGTAAATAAAAACAAATAACTCACCGCTGGAAGGTCCACATCTGTAGGGTTACGCTTGCAGAAGTTGCCATAGTAATCTTGAACTTGCATACCCTAAATCCCCACAATCCCAGGTTATATTCTTAAAAAGGAAGGAAGCACATAATACAGAGTAAATGTGTATCTAACAACATTCAGTAACAATACTCGAACCGGGGAATCAACAGAAAACATCCTACCAGCAACATCTATGAAGAGAAAATAATCATGGAAAAGAAATGCACATACATTGCTGCATCGCACTCGCATAACACCTTCCAACCCCTGTGGTCGGGTCAAATTCCACCGTAGATCATTGTACAGCTTCGCAGAATCCACAACAGCTTGGAACTCATGGTAGTAATAAATCTAGACATACACAAGAAAAGGACACATATTAATAACAAAAAAATGAGCCATCCCACTAACTTAACATCTTCTCCTGTGATGTCCAGTAAAGTATTATGAAGAATTGGAACTGGAAACTGGAATTCGCTCTTCTTCTAGAAGTACTCTGTTAGCACGAATACAAGAACCATAGTACAAGCCCAAGATTTAAGAACAAAATAAAATAAAACTGGACACAAGTAAAGGTAGAAAACAAGCAGATGGAGAATTACTAGAATAACGTTTTCAGAATACACCAGGGCTGGCCGTTCTTTCTTCATGGGCAAGACAGCTCTATGTGCCAGCTTTGAGAAAATGTACCTGGCCTCCTGTGGATCGTGGAAGAACAGCTAAGGATGCAATATCCACAAAGCTTTGTGTTGCTAAGAATAGGTCCACACACACCTGTCGAGCATAAAGCACGAGATTTACAGAAGGTTCTGACGAACTCGCAACACTCACACTAAGCATACCACACCCAAAAGATCTGCAGGCAAAGGAAGAAGATAATAGGCGGTGCCCAAACTTACTGTTGCACAACGCAACCTCTGTGTTAAGAAAGGTAAATCACATATCCACATAAATATCAGGATAAAGCCGCATGGCTTACCTGGAACTCCGCGAGCTCAAGTGCCAAGGTCTTCAGGATCTTGTCCGAGGGCTGCAAAAGCTTCTGAGCCTCCTGCGAATCCGTCCAATATGAGTAAATAAGCAACTATAACGCACGCCAGAAATTAGACTGACTTACAAAACAGAGAAAGTGCAATTGTAGGAGGCACAAGAACAATTACAAAATAATAAATAAGTGAAGTTTTCATACAGCATAGATGATACAACAAAGTATGAACCAGGAAAGAACAAATCCAAACCATCAACACTGAAAGAAACTGGAAATCCTAATATTGAACACTAATCAAGTATAGACCAAAATGCTACAAAATAAATTAACATACCAAAGATCATCGCTAAATAAGGGAAGATGAGTGCAACGCAATGAAGTTGGGTATCTCGCACTCTACCTTTTCATTAACTTTGCTCTCTGCCTCGCGTGCTGTTAAAGCTCCAAATCCAACAGACGGTAGAACTGCATAAACCCCAGAAATCTCAGTCATCTAACAAACCCATTAACTGTGATAATAATCTAAAAAACGTACCGTCATACACAAGAGAGAAAAAATTAACTTAAATTAAAAAAGTAAACAAATAACAACCTGTTTGAAAGACTAGCAGCTTCCCTCCAGTCGCCTTCATGCCTAAATAGGCACCCTGGATAGCACAAATATCAAACAGGGGATCACCCAGACCACACAGATCCATCAACCGCGACTTATATAACACTGTGAGACTGCATTACTCTCAAAGCCACTTTGACTAATCATAACCCAGCTGGCGTTCACATTTTCTAGGTAGCACACATGGACAGACCTCCACATCTGCATACCTCTTATGATCAATCTAAGGTTCCCAAATATGAAGTGAAACCACCCTTCTCAAATACAGTCAGCTACATATACACCCACTTCAGCACTACAATCAAAACTACCAACCTTGACGGCAGCTCCAAGAGCAGCGTCCGGTATTCGATTGTTCTGAAACATGCTGGGGATAGTCTCCAATAGTTGCTCCAAATGATCCCGTCCCTAACCACATCACACACGCCAACCACACCATAACACAACCAGTCATCCAACACCAATTATCTCAAAGGTTCATACACCCGGCACCTCAATTTGCCAAAGTAACTTCAACAGATCCACAACGTCAAAAGCGCGTCTCATAAACACATCCACACGATAAGGTCAGGGGATAATCACCTCCGCAAGCGGAACAAGCAGGTCAGTCTGACGAGGAGTGTAAACATCTTGTATGTCGGGAACAACCAACATAGATGGCTGCGCCCCAAACAAACAACACACCCCATGAGCCACACCACCAACACAGAAACCACGAACTCTGAGCAAAACAAAATAGGCCCACTTGATCCCTTCACTGTGCGAAAAAACAAAGAACCTCAAATCTGCATGTCTACCGTCCTATGACCCACGTGCCCGGAATTGCCTAGAATGACCTCTACCGCTTACTGTACATTCCCAGTCCTTCCTAGTCATCGACCACCGAACTATACATCCCATCGAATACTAGAGGTACAAATTCAGCTCTTTGTCGCCTCACAATCCTAAAAGAACCACCGACATTCTCACCGATTGTAAACTCGTGTTCAGGTTGTAGAAATGCACAGTAGAATCGAATGTCGCGATGCCCACAAGAGTCCTCGTATCATCCTGTTCGCAGAAACAACAAGCGGGTTTTACTGACCCATTCTATTCAAGCCATCTCGTAATTTCATCGACGTCATCATCTGAATCACAGACTCATCAACACAACCAAGAAAGAACTCAAGTCTCACAAATACCAAAAGCTTCGAAAACCGCAAACCCACACCCCCTATAACAACAAGCTCGACCCCACGCCTCCACAATAAAAGGCATATTCCGCCTTTGATTTAACCTCCGCACACTTCCATATCAGAAATATAGATCTACCTCTCAGATAACTGTACAACCACCTCCCAAATACGCAACACAATATGATTCAACACACATGCAGTAGACTTACTCCAAGGTCGGCCAGAACACGATTGATTGCACTGCAAGCTGACGCAACTGCTCCCGTGGAAACCGCGTTCACAGACACATCCACCAAGAAGAAGAATACTTGGGGCATTGGAGGTCGAACCTACATGCACATCACAACAAAAATCAGTCCATCGACCCAAACCAACGCCAAAACCTTACATTCCAACCGTGAACATCACCTGAGGTCAACACTTGGAGGCACCAGTTTTGCTGCTTCCAAAGCTGATCCCACATTCATGCTACTTTCCAACGACACTAGAACCTTGCACTGCCAGCAGACCCTCCGTACCATGTACTCTTTTGGAGCTACAAACTCCACGGTGCCCCTCGACAGCTCGGGTCTCATGTCTGCATCCCGTCTTCTCCCGTCCGGTCCCAGATTGCACAGATAATCTCGTGGGGTTTCGCTCGTGTAACCTGTTCATCAACACATCCTCCCGCTCGTCAACACACTCGACCCACATCCTGTGCCTTCCGGATGCTTCGACCTCGGAACCCAAACTTCTACCCCTGTGAATCAACCACATTCTACGGACTGGCGCAACTGCTACGAAGCTGAAACGCATACATTGGACTCGGCCATGATACGGAGCAATGTATCTAATCCAAACAAACTCCACGTGGCCGCAGAATCACTGCATCGCCACTCCAAGCTCGGTTTTGAACCCTCACCACACAAATTGCATGTGAAACGGCGACCCTGGTCGATAAACCTCATAAATGGGTTGATGTACGCTTTGCACTGAGGTGCACTACATCGCACTGGACCGCTCTCTCCGAAATCCACCACCTGCCAACCAACACCTCCACGACTTGCCGTCAGTTCACTGAAGTCACAACCTCAAACACGGATCGGCTTGCACTAAAATCATATCGCCACCTGGCGTACCCGCCGGGTTACTTCCCACCCTGTATCGTGTATAATTTGTTCATCTGACCAAACTTCTCCACCACGGTTTACGCCGCACGCACACACAAACGCCTCTCCAAGTACAAATCGCTCAACTCCCCAGTCCGTCAACTACCTGAATTGCCTCCTCGGCGGGGTCTTGGAGAGCGAGGGGCTGAACCATTACGGCCAACGGCATTCCAGAATTCGCTAACAAATCTCCCGAACACGGAATCTGCAACCATGCGCGGAACCAGATCAATGTCGGATACGCAACCTCACCCGTGAACAGCAGAAATACTGAGCCAACAACCCTGCGCCTCATAACTTCACCAACACCAATTCAAGTAGATTACTCTCATGCACGTAACCTGAACTACTCCTCACTTGCATCCACACCACATCAACCACATGCTTCAAATCACCGGCATCTCTGCGACGTGACCCCTCCACACACCACCACGTCATGGCTTTCTACACACCACCCAGCAATTTCGGAGGCGTTGCCCAAAGGTAGAAAACACCACATCACCTGGTTCAAGGTGCACCGCATGAATCGTGGGCTGCAATTTCCAGTATCCCTCACAACGAAGTGCGTTGTAGCAGACTGACACACGCATACAACACCATCAGTTCAGCGGAACCATTGCATGAAAAAGTCCCCCCATTATACATTCCCTACCATATCGCTTATGCTGCGGGTGAGTAACCATCACGACATTCTTCTCTATGGACGTTGACCTCTATGACCACCACCACCCCTGAGTCACCAGACACCTCAAAACAAGACCCTGGAATACAACATTCTCTGCACAGTACCGGAGGCAAGTTGGCCATGCCATTCACTCGTGTATCGAACGGTAAGGGGCTCGCTGTTGACTGGGGACGCGGAATCTGGTTAGGATCGATACGGGAGGCGGATCCTGGTTGACCTCCAGCGGGTGATCCTGGCTGGGACATGGTCTGCATCGATGGAGCCATGCTTCCCGGTATGTAGGGCTGTCCACCATGAAGTTGCTGCGGACCACCCGCCACAGGAGGCATGGAGCCCTGCCACCCATCAACACCACAGGAGTCATGTGCCCAGCGTCAGTGCCTTTGCAGCTAACTTCGCCACCAAGCAAACACGCTGAGATCGCCACCCAACACCATCAACCACGGAAGCACACGCCGTTCACTGCTGAAGCTACCTCGACCGTAAGTTCACACCCTGACACTCCTAGCACTGACCCGCTCTAACAATCTCGACCTCCTAACTACACCTTGAGCGTCGTGGTCTCATCACTACAGTGGACACTCATTCCCATCGCGAATGCCCTCTTGCCAACCCTCAATGCTCCAGCTCTTCGCAACCACGTCAATGGTTGCAGCATTAGCTTCCAAACACTGATCTCATGCTCAGCAGATTCACACATCAAAAGAAAAGCGACGCCATTTACTCCCAAAACTCACACTTTGAGGTTGACCACCGTAGGCCTCCGGATACACACGCCTTGCAGGAGTTTGCCATGTAGATGGAGTACTATACGAAGCTCCCGCCACAGGTTGACTAGGTGCAGAGAAACTAGGAGGACCTGGTGGACCAGGTGGCTGCTGGCCTGGCTGACCCATGGACATCCGTTGGAACTGTTGTGCAAGAGTAGTTGCTCCAGGCGCTCCCTGCACGCTATGCATTGGTCTGTACAATGCCTCAGACTGCCCCATAGCTGGACTAGGGCCTTGTCCAGGAAACTGGCTGGTGCTTCCACCCAGCCGTGTGGGAGGAGCTTGAGGAGGTCCATTAGCGGGTGCTTGCTGGTACGAGAAGCTAGGAGGACCAGCAGGAGCACTGGATAGGGGAACCTGGCTGCTAGATTGTTGTTGGTACGGCAAGGAAGGGGGGCCCATGGGAGGACCACTGGAGGCAACGGCTGACGATGGTCTCGCCGGTTGGTAAGCTGGAGGGGTGGATTGGGGCGCGGAAAAGGCTGGTCTGTTGACAGCAGCAGGGGCACCCCCAGGCGTGAAACCACCGGGACCTCCAAATGGACCTGCGCATTGCAGCCACTGTCAAAAGCAGTTTAGGGGGACAAAATCTGGATTTCCAGACGCGAAAAAATCAAGGCCACACATCTGTGCTGCACGCACTCCTCCAGACTATCCCTCCCACGAGTTGAGGCACATTGGAAAGCAACCGATATCTGTAAAGGTACAAATCAAGGCATGCTCTTTCTGGGTGCATCTTGCATATATCCAGACTGTATTTCAGACACAAAGGCAAGCGGCAGAAAGAAAAGTTCACAGGGCTTAAAACAGTGATCTAATGGATCCTACTTTCATACATTGGTTGGGGCATCATTCCAGTAATCACTCTAATCTTATCATTTTCAACAGTAATCTTTCTTCATCTGCGACAACCAGCACCACTAGTTGATGGGATCTCGTCACTTTGTCATGGAGCCTGTGTAGATTCAGTTGCTCAAGTACATTGTCATTTTCACAAGCAATTCCTTCTAGATCCAATCAATTATCTCAACAGTAGACACTTCTAGGACCATACTTAGCTGTTAGCGAACCTAGGGGTAGACAATTGACCTGAGGAATGCCCCATCGTTCCTGTAATTGAGTTGGTAGACGGGTTAGTCGCAGGTGGAGCTTCCGGTCTCATATGAGGAAAATCTCCTGCTGGGGACGTAGCTATATAGCTGCGATTGACGAAAGAGCTCAGCCCTGGAGGACCTGAAATTGGCGGTGGTCCTGGAGGACCGGAAACTGGAGAGGGTCTCGCCAGCACCCTGCTTGGAGGAGCTCCCCACTGCGGCTGTACTCCAGGGGGTGTGCTACCGGGTGGAGGTCCAGGAGGCCTGAAAGGGGGAGCTGCGTTGCCATACAGTGAAGGAGGTGGTCCTGTAGGAGGAGGACCCCTTAGGCCAGGCTGCATTGGTGCTATTCCTTGAGCGTACTGGCCACCAGAGGCCCCTGAGTAGGACTGCATGGACTGGGGAGCATAACCTGCGGGTTGTGGAGTCCCTTCTGGATGCTGGTGCCCTGGCCACTCACCCTCTCTCCCCATGCCTTCACTCACCAGAAAAAGACGGCAGCTATTCTTTCCAAATCGTCCACTAAATGGTGATAGTGATCATGTAATGGCTGTGAGTGCCCTCGATGAGCAAAGGTTTAGGCTAAAGAAGGAGGTTCCAATAAACAGATCCGTGACGATTCGTTCTAGAATGGTTGAGACACAACATACTACGAGTTGAACGAAACCGATATTAACAAGAATTCAATTATTTCAGATGCTGGGCCCCCTCAATGCAACATTGTTCATTCAATTTTAGTGGCCTGCGCATTCACTGCAATTTATCAATGCCTCCACTCATCACATCGTCTCACCACCGTAGACACAAAACGAGACGAGTACCAACTCTTTTGCAATCGACCGCTACAGAACCTCCTGAACCAAGCCAAAATCCACTAAAAGCAAACAAGCAGACTCCATTGTACTCGTCATTCTACTCTTTTAAAGATTATCGTCCTCTCAAACCATCAACAATTCGATCGGCTGACAAAGTAAGCCAAATCACCAAACCTGCTCTCAGCTATCCACTAGCCACTCCAAATCTGAACTGTAGAAACCCTAAAAGCATAACTCGAAAACAATCAGTTACAAAATGCCAATATCACTACCTTGTTGATTTCCCTAAAACGAAAAATCTTCGACTTCTCCAACTTCTAGATCAACCCAAAAACCACCACAGAAATTCCTACCCGCAAAGCATTCACAAAATATATCTACACACATAACAAACAAATAAATAAATAATAATGAAAAAAATAAAAAGACGTCAAGATTATACCAGAATATGTACTTCAGAGAAAATATATGGTGAGAAGCCCCTAAGCAGACGCAGAGTAACGTTGCAAAAATTACAACGCACGAGCACAGAATGCAAAACCTGCGCCAGAGGAGGCCTCACCAAACTCTAAGCTCGTCGAGCAGAAGCAAGACGACCAGACCTGAAAATTGCCGGCCCGGGGCGAGCCGGGGCGGGCCAATATGGACACCCAGCCTGAGGTCATGAGATGTCCGCCAGGTCAATGCCTGCATGGGCAGCCCACCTCGCACAAAGTTCTAATTATCACAAGCACCCACATCATGCTATCTTACATCAATCCAGCTTAGAGGTTCCTGTTATTGGTAAATTATTCAAGCTCATCCATAAAAAACTAGAAAAGAGAGAGTAATGTGAATTGGAATTGTAATTCTAGAATAAAGTAGAATGATAAGTGTTGAAACACACAAAAGTCACTAAATCCTTGAGTTACTGAACATATTTCAAAATATTAATTAAGAAATGATGACAAAATGTTAAACATTCAACTTCATACTGAAGATTTTTTTTGGCATGATTTCTTTTTACTTTTTTGTATGATTAACATGCATGTTTCTTCCAATTTTTTTAAGAACAAAATAAATAACTATCTATCTACATACATATAACTATTGAGAATATATCTAGTATATAAAATAGCTTAGGTATGAAAGAAAGACGCCTTCTTATTGACCATGAAGATGAGAACTTGGAAAACATGGGAAGATTGGAGTACAGGAATGTTGATCTTTTTAGGGCCTTGTAGTTTAGAAGAGTCCGCTTCCAAAAGCTTACCTATCTTCTGTGTCCAATGATTTGAGTTTTTGCTAGAACATATATATATATATATATATATATATTTACAAAGGAATATTAAAGTGACCCATGGTTTTACGAAATCAATTCATCCATCATCACAAAGCATAGAGATTGTCGACCTTATCTATATTATCATTATTCTAATACTTTTAGATTGATACAATAATGGTTTTTTTAAAACGAAATTAGTACAATGATGGTCATATAGCCGGTAATAATAATTGCTTATCAACAACTACATTTAATAGTGTCATGGCTTTTTTCTACCTTTCATATTATATATTATTATAGTATATTGCTCTCTTTGCATTGTCCTATTGTAATATGTTTGATATTGTGTTTAGTATTCAAAGAGGGAGAAAAAAAAAAAAAAAAAAAAAAAAAAAAAAAAGTCAAATATTTGGATTTTGTAATGGATACTGTGTCTTTTACATCTCTTTTACTTGAGGGTATTTTTTACTGTTTTAAAGACATAAAAGAAAAGATAGACGAAATTGCCTATAATTGAGGATACATCATTTGTAAGTTCAAGTTTGACAAAGGTTACATTGATTTTAAGTGTGATAGGAGACAAGTTTATATTAAATGACCAAATCTCATTTATCAACAAAATACAACAAATCAATTGATTGGATGTCTTTTTGTCTTAAATGCAAAGTGTTTAGAAGGTATTAGACAATGGCAATTAATAGTGCAAAATGGTGAATATAACAATAGACCATTGTCATCTCTAATAGGACATGCATTTGCAAGCCTATCAAAAATATATATATATATATATATATATTTATTGTTAAAGCTTGGACAAATGAATATCTTTATTTTATGAATGTTACTATTTCTAGAATTAAAGGTCAATATTCTCTTCTTAAATCATATTTAAAGGTTTTTATAAAAGACTTGCAAGGGGTACAATTTTTTCTATTTCAATTCTTTGAAAACACAACAAGGGAGATTAATGCACAAGAAAGTTCAAAAGGACTTGTGTATGTTATTAACATACTATTCATTTTTTTCAAATGTTGTAAAAAGAGTATCAATGTATGCATTCAATCTTGCCTTTTCATAGTTGAATTATGTAATAGAGATTTTTGATGTTAACTTTTATATAATATATTGATAAAGACATTAGGAATAGTATATAAACATGAAATTCAAAGCATCCAACATACTAGAAATATTTTATCTATAGCAAAATTTCAAGCTCAATATCATTTAGTGAATACCACTGCAAAATGTATATGCAAGTTGCAAAGACCTTTATATTTTCTTTGACTTTATTGGTCAAATTTTGTAATTACTATCTCTTCATCAACACAAGAAAGTGCAAGGTTAATCATTAGAGCTAGCATTTACAAGTGTACAATTAGAAAATCAAGCAATACTTGACCAAAAGACCAACCATGTGGAGCACCTAATTATATAAGATACAACATTCTATACAACAAAGTGCTTTATAGTTTGAAGTTGTTGAAGCAATAGCTAATATTTGTCATTGCAAGAATTGCTAAAGATAAGGACACAAAATACACACTTGACCTACTCAAAGTTTACTACATCACAAGTCTCTATGAATACATCTCACTTATAATGAAGTATTTACTATCTATGTGCAATTAGTTATTTAAAAATTAGAATATTTCATATGAAGGTGGTGAAAATTTAGTTTATTAACATGTGAAGAGGTAGTGATTATGATTGAACAAGATATATTTGTTTGATTGTTGCACAAATTGAAGAATATGTGCATTTATTTAGCAAATTAATCCTAACATACATAGACATATATAAAGTTTTTAAATAAAGCTCAGTATTACAAAAACAATTTGTATGCCATAGAATGCACACTCTTTATTTGTGTGACTTTATATGATGTACAAGTATCTTTTTTGGTACTTCTTGCAACTCGACCTCCCTCATCAAAGATTTTTTGTATATAAAAATAAATAAATAAATAAATAAAATAAATCATTAAAAAAATAAAATCTAGCTTATCATAATTAAAATAATAATTAAAAATATCAACAAAGGTTTATGCACTATGATTGTAGATGCAAATTCATTGTTTTATCAAGAGATTCAAATGGCACAAAAAAAATTAAATTGGATTTTAACAACATATTACAAATAAACATTGGTTACAATCCTAAATAAAACAACTAATAGACTTATTTGTATCATCTTGCAAGATTTAAGCTGTATTGTATGGTATTGTTATGAACAATATCAAGTTGAATGCATATAAATACTAAGATCTTGTGCTCCAAATTGCTTCTCATTTGAAAACCTCTAACTTACAATTACACTATAATATTGTAGCAAATATCAAACAAGAAGTAGACCAATTTAGCAAATTTTCAAATACAATTCAATCTACTTTGAATATTTTATTGCAACAAACATTATCTTTGTCTAATCATGTAACTTCAATAAAAAAAATGAAGTGTGATATATTTACAATGTTCAAATTGCATAGCAAAGATAAAAATAAGAATAGTATTATCTTACAAAACTATTAGTGCTCATACAAATAATGGGTGTTATAAAAATGTTGGTTTTTAATTTCAAAATACATCTCTCTGTAGTAGGTCCTTGGCTTATGCTTTGATTTACATCTTTCACTTAGACTGCACCACCTTTTGCAAAAATTTAATGTGATAGTCATTATATTTGCACTCATCTTTAGTTGAAATCTACCATTGTCTGTTCAATTTCTCACTCAAAGATGCTTCTTCTTTGTGACTAAATAAAATTACAATAAAAAATATAAGTAAAAAATACATTAATTTTTTCTAATTAGTCATCATAATTTTTTAAAAAATATAAGATAAGCAATTTAAAATTACATGCTAAGCCTTGCATCTAAATCATACTATACAACTTCAATTTACTATGTCTAGCTTCAAAATATCACATTGTTATCTTCATCTATTGCTACTTGAATTGTAAGTATTAAAAATAGAACTTCTAAAGAATAATACATACTTAAACAAGGCTTCTTTAAGGTATAACTAAGTCAAGCTTTATAGTGTCAATATATAACCATCCAAGAGAAAGGCCAAAATGAAGGCCAACAACTCACTCAAACGAATAGAGTATATATTAGAAACTAACCTCTTGGTGATATATTAATAAACTCATAAAATCAAAAAATGATCATCATTGTTGAAAGATATATTGCCCAAGAGCACAAGACCTCACCAAGACAACAAATACATTATCCTCCTTGTGTGCAAATGACTAATCTTTTGTTAACCCCTACGTCTTTAGTACACAAAGCAAAACAATAACATTGTCAAACTTCAACCACCACATCCTTATAATATTAGAGTTAGAAGCATGACAACAACATAGAACTATCCTAATAACAAGCCAAAAGTAAAAAATAGAATGCAAAGTCAAAAACAAAGCATAATGCAAGAAGGAGTTAAGCGAAAAGATGAGAAGATTGAATCTATGTTGATCTCTAGGTCCTTTTCAACATAAAAACCAGAGTTCTTTAGCAAGAGATAAGGTATAGTATAGCCACCATGATTGTACCAATAGAAAAGATTAAAATAATGATAAATGTGATTGATTTTCATTGATTATGGATCTAATAGTAGATAAATAAACCTAGAGTTTTATTATTATTATTATTATGGTTAGGATTGGTGGATCAATTTGATAAATCCTAGATTACTTTAATATTATCTTATATATATATATATATATATATTTATTGGAATATATTCTATAATAAGTCATATATTAATGTAATGGAACAAAAATAAATATATACTTGTAAACTCATATGTAAAAATCAATATATATTTTGATTGATATATATAAGCACAAAAATCAAAAGATTAGGATAACATATACTATTTTTTATTTATGGTTTTATAATATACGATTTTTCTAGAAAGTAAAAATTTATTTAAGAATAAATGTATTAAGATAGAAAAAATAATACAAATTTTCAAACATCAAATTAAACCTTGGAATAATAAACTCAATTTTTTTGAACCTCGTAAATTCTATACAATATCTATTTTTAATAGGTTAAATTTTAAATCCAAAAATATCAAGTTTGTACATAAAATATTATAATTGCAAGACAGTTCTATAATTATTTTGAAATATATAAAAAATTATGAAAATATTTTTTTTATACAATAAGACACATCCAAAATCATTCACAAATTAGGATAAATTTATTAATTTTTTCAAATTATCTTAAAAGAATAATGTTGTCAACTTCATATATTTATTACATATTTATATTTACTTAGATTATATAGATCTTTATAGTATTTAAAATTCAATATTGTAATGAAATTAAAACTAATTATTATTTCATCAC